AGAAGAATGACTTATGCTCTTCGCAGATACAAACAATACTGTCTACAGAAGCGACAACGGTATTGATCTTATTTTTGATGCCTATCATCCGGGCATCTGTCTCCCCATTATAGTAGGCCGAATAATCACCGTGTATAGTGGTTACATGCCGGAATAAATCAGTGGCATTTTTTAAAACGCGGGACACCACCAGGTCAGCCTTAAAAAGGTGACTATGTACCACATCAGGATTAAATTGCTTAATGACGCCGGTAAGCTGGCTGACAATCTGGGTTTGTAATCCGGACACATCAATATTTAATTTAAGAAAAAGGGAATCCAGTTTTCTTAATAAAGGCAATGCGGTAAAGTCCAGTTGGTAAAAGGTGATGCGGTCATCCAGTTTTTCTCTTATTTCAGGAACGACCAGGTCTTTATAAAAAGCAACGACCCCTACTTCATGATTTTCACACAAAGCATTGGCAAGGCGAACCACAAACATTTCTGCGCCACCCGGATGTAAAGTTTCTGTAACCAGTAAAACCCTCATTGCTATTACTCGGTAAGTTGTTTATTATTGTCCATGTACACATCAACGTATGATTTCATACAATTGTCCATCCTGAATTTTTCAAATGCTTGTGTAGCACGGGATCTATATAAAGACAATAATTCTGTATTGCTCATCATGTCTGACATTTCCTTTACAAGTGCAGGTATAATTTCGTCCGGCTGCCTAAAATTAATGATTCTACCTGCAAGATTGTTAGTTTGATCGCCGGTGTCTAACATATTTTTTACTTCGCCAACAGAGGTGACAATCGTTGGCTTTTTCATAAAAAGATACTCAATAACTGCTGTGGGCAAGCTTTCCGCATCATAATACGAAGGAAGGATGCCCACGTCAAAGCAGTCGATATAGTCTAAAGGGAAGGCGCAAAAACCGGTAAAAATAATACGGGGATCATTTTGGTACATCTTTTTCAAAATGTCCAGTCGCTTACCCTCCCCGACAAGTACCAGTGAGATATCTTTCCGGTCTACTTTTTGGAAAGCGGCAATGGCTTCATCCCAGCCC